GGGCCCCGTCCCTCACTACCCGGCAGCCCCATTGTGGGCCTGGCCGAACCCATAATGGGCTTGCAAAAAGAGGCTCTCTTAGTGTCCACAGGGTGGAAAGAATTAAAAAAAACATATTTAATAAGCGATTGACATCACTTATCGAGTTTCATTCGTCTTAACTCACACAATGAAAATATTTATAATTTCCTCTGAATAATTCAAATTCAACTATTCGAAACTCGCGGTATTATTACTATCTAAACCAGTGTTTCTCAACCTCTAACGAATCATCGCCCCCTTCACTTTAAAATTCTGATGCCGATGACCAAGGCTAACGAATTCGTACTGCATTGAATACACGATTGACTAGTATAATGTTATTTGTTTAATTATTGTACTATATATCGAATAAAATAGCTAATTATTCTTAATATAATGTTTTACTATATCGCCCAGAAAATTGTTTTTCGCCCCCAAAATATAAATTGTTACAAATCGCCCCCTCAACATGGAAAAACGCCCACATGGGGGCGATATCGCCCCCGTTGAGAAACACTGATCTAAACTAATGGATGCAATATTACAACTAGTAATAATGAAAGAAAAAAACCCACTAAGATGCCAGGTCATAATAAAACGAACGTTAAGGCCATAAAATGTACTTAGAATTCATATTGAACAAAACAAAAAAAAAACTCGCCCTGCGCGAAATTCAATAAAGCGGGACACAGGAAGCCTTCTCTGCATTTCTTCGGCGTTTCCTGTCTTCACAATGGTCACCTACAATAGAAAAAGCGAACAATACTTTGTAACAATTCGTTAGGTATTGTTAGAATATATTTTTAACAACGCGTGACGTATTAAGATCACATCGTGTTTTTACGTCATGTGTTACGTAAAATACAATAATTGGTTTGAAATGTTTCAGAAAGGATTATTTTAACTTTTTAAAAATAACAATTTTTTTCTAATAAATAAAATTATAAAAATGCCCAATTATTTATTTATTCTAAAGTAATATTATCAAACATTTTATTTTAGACTTATTATATTTTAATAATTCAAACACACTTCCTACAGCTATAGAAAATTTTGAATTTTTATAAACATTATGACTGTATACAAAATAATTTATGTAACAAATGTTATATATAGACTATATGTGTGTTCTTTAAATTCCTTATATATTTCGGAATAAAATGATACCATTCATTCGATCATAGACAAATACTAGTTTAGATATGTCTATTTGAATAGCCTTAATAATAATAAAATATCGAAAAACAAAGTAATATTTTAATGATAAACTTATGACCCGTTAAATACATTAATAAAAATTAGTTAAATTAGCGAATAAAGTTGAAAATGATCAATTTTTAAAAACTTCGCAAGAGTTGGGCCTTGAGCGCTCGCATTGTTCAGCTCCACCAACAGCCAACCCTGACAAAGAGACTTGATGGGACGCAGGCACAATGGGAGAAACTCTTGAGCACTGTGATTTCCGCCACAAACTACAAATTAAAGTACAATCGGCACTAATAAAGACAATAATAACCAAACACTTGGAGAAAGCAATGAATGGTGTAACTGACAGATGGTCAAAACATTAAAGAAAAGGGAAGAGGAGAAACAGCTAAGTTTTAAGATAAGAAGAAATTCTTAGTACTGTACAAAAGTTCTGTTTAGATGAGCCGTCCACATTCACATCAACAGCATTTGCTTTGGATTTGGCAAATGAAAACTCAGTGCCGCTCCAATCACTTAAGTTTCTGAAGAGAACCAAAAAGTAGCACCATCAGAAGTTCATCAAGAGCCGAGTAGCAGTAGCAGTGGCAGTGTCAGCCAGCAGATATTAAACGAAATTCCTTCTGATCCTGCATATGGAACGCTTTCTGCATGTCATCTGAAACTTGCCAAATACTGGTGTAGAGAGGTTCACATCAAATTAAAGAATTCGAATTTCCTATTAATAAAGGATGGCGTAGATTTTCGCCCTCGCATTATTTGAAAGTGTTGAGCAACGGTGAAGTCGTTGAGAGAAGTTGCTTGATTTACTCTCTTACAAGTGTTGCTGTTTTTTGCTATTGTTGTATTTTATCTGATAATTCGTCAGCTACAGTATTAATGACTTGCCCAAAAAAGGCTATTCTCACCGGGAAAATCTTCGAAGAGCCCTCACAATGCAGAAAAAGTCTGTATATCACAGAAATGCTTTTAGAGCATGGAAAGAATTGGACACCGGATTAAAACAGGAAAAAACAACTATTGACGCTGAATATCAACGAATTATGGATGTAGAAATTCAGCATTGGAAAGGAGTTCTAAAAAAATTATGTCTAATTAGACTATTTGCCTCACAATGTTTAGCTTTTCGTGGAACAACTGAACATTTGCTTCAGCCTAATAACGGAAACTTCCTAAAGTTGTTAAAATTGCTTTCTGAGTTATGGAATCTATTTCGGGCACAAAAACTCCTCATCAGCCTACATATACCCATACAGTATAAACACAAATATCTATCAAGAACATCATAACATAAATAGCAATTCCAGACTAATAGAGGAGAGGAGAGTATTGACAATGTTATCGACACTTTACATCACTTGCTAAAAAATTGAATAATTAAAAAATTTCTGGATTAAAACCGTCTATTTCTTCACAATGTTATTCGTAAATGCTTAAATAATCGTTATCTTAATAAAATAGGTCATAATTTTAACTCCAAACAGAAAAAAATGAAGAAGTTTAACCGATCTTCTACTCGCCATTCTACACGAAGCGAACGCCGTTATCGACCGCCTAGAACCGCCAGATGGTGGCGCATGAACCGTCTGCCGTACACGTTTTGCGCTGATACGTGTACCGCAACCTCTCCATTTTATACTTCTAAAAATAGGGTTGATTCTGCAGTCTGTTACCAAAGTATAAGAACACCATAAATTTTGTTTTTTCTTTAATTTATTTCCAAACTATTACTGGAAATATTAATTATTTTTTATAATTATTTTAAATTATTTTATCAGGTTTTTTTACATTTCATAAAGCAGCATATATTTTTTTTCACAAATATCCATTTTTTTATATATTCAACATATATCATGTTTAACATACAGGAATGAGAGAGAAGTTTTGAAGCTTATAAATAAAAAAGACGTTAACAAGGCAAGTTGCTGCTGAAATATCAGTAGATGTGTCTCATGCAACTCTTTGGAGAACTTTAAAAAACTATGACAATGTAAAATATTTTAAAATGAAGTTTTTAAATATTTTACTGCCAAACACATATCAATGAATTTAAATTGGGCTAAAGACAAGGTGGGATGAACTGAAGAATGACAAGAAATAATGTTTAGTGATGAAAAATTTAATTTATATGACCCTGATGGGTTTTCATATTATTGGCATGATTTAAGAAGAGAAAGCAGAGTTAAAATATGCCATGGGTCTATAATGATTTAGGGTAGTTTTGGAAGTAAATGGGATGGATGGGAAGGAAAAACTAATTTAGTATTTGTTGAAAAAAACATGATTACATTTGGTGCATTAATTGGAGGACATAAATGGTAGTTTCAACAAGATAATGCTACCATTCGTGTCTCAATGTCAACAAAAAATTGGTTTAAAAAAGAAAATATTGATGTAATATTAACCGGCCTTCATGTTGTCCAGATTTAGATCCCATTGAAAATTTATGGGGGTTTTTAGCAGCCATTATTTAACAAAATGGGAAACAATATGAATCTGTAAATATCAATTAAGAATAAACAATTAAAAAAGTAACAAACTCCATGCTAACAGAATTTTTCAAGTAATTGTAGCCAAAGGAGGTGAAACAAAATATTAAAAGTGTTTAAAATATATTTTAAAATGTGCCTATACTTTGGTAACAGGTAAAAAGTGATAACTTATATTATTATTAAAAGAAGAAAAGCTTAAAATGATATTTTTGTAATGATCTTAAAACATATAAAACTGTTTTCTAATAAAAAATTTAAATAAATTTTGAAAAATCACAAAATTTGTGGTGTTCTTATACTTTTGTAACAGACTGTATATCTGGGAAGCAAGATGGCATTCACATACTTTGTCATAATACTGTAGAAGTAAAGTTGTTCTTTCCCGGCATCTTCTACCGTCGACAGTGTAATATGATCGTAAATTTTCAGATATACTTTTCCAAGCACCTTTCGGATTTTCATACGCATACGGATTTACAGCAACTACTTCTCTCAACAGGAGTATATCGTGGTTACAGGAAAAACGCATTGGAACTTTCCTATTGTTTGTAACGCAAGGAAACACCACGCTAATTATAGTAAAAAGATAATTATTTCCCGTGAGTCAATGCGCGACGTTCATTGAGTCACGTGATGTTGTGAACGTCCGCCGCATCGATTCTTTCTTGCAGTTAAAACGTAAACCGTGTACTTCTGCTTGCCGTCTAGAAGTAACGTTTGAACGTCGGCCGCAACCTCTCTATTACCTTTCAAATCGGCTGCAAAGCCTGGTAAAATTCCTTTCTTTCACGTTGACATAATAAAGTGATCAAGCACGTTTAGAGTACGAATTTACATTCAATCAGCATTGATAGGGGCGGCCAAATAACTGTAGCACGCAGGCGGCTAACAGTCCAAAACCGGCACTGCTGTACAGTATGGACATACGAAATTCGATAATCCGACAATCTGCTGTAACCGACACCCGCCGGTCCGATATATGTCGGATTACAGAGAGTCTGTACCAGTGCATTTTATTCCATAACACCTTACTATTGCACCTTTTACATTCAATAACTATTAGATAAACTTGCCTTTTCCTCTTTGAAAACTTATAGAGTAGCTTTCCTAGGATTTATTACATACGCATACAACAATCTGTCATCTCAATCTCATTCAGGAGGAAGTGCAGAGCCGGGAACCCAGTATTCAATTAATATACGTGTTCAAAATTATAAAGATAGTCAAAGATTTAAATTTTATTTTAATATTAAATAGATAGGTATTATAAATATAGAAATAATGTATAAGGTTAGAATTATTAACTTAAAATATTAACGCAATATAAATTAAAATATGCAAATTAAAAGAGCGTGGCGTCCTCTAGTGGAGAAACGGTGTAGTAGAATTTAAAATGGCGATCAGCTGTTAATGGCAATGTGACTTCTGTTTTCACAGGGTAAAAATAAAAATGGATATTTTCCAATTGAACAAACGATTGCTTTTTAAATTAACAAGTCAATCCTCATTTATATTCAATAGGTTAGGTTTTACTGAATGTAAATTAAAAATTACCCGTAAAATTTATAAGTGTGTATATTTACTTTCTTTTAAATTAGGTTTTTAGCCAAAACACATTATGAAGTTCTGGGAATAAATAATAATTCTACGACTAAAGAAGTGAAAGAAGCATATGTCAAGTTATGCAAAGAGGTATGAAATTAATTGCTTATTTTATAACCCATCAGTTGTGCCACACGTTGCATTCTAATGTCACGTGGTGTTGCAGTGTCCGTCAAGAAAGCACACTATAAAAGGTTTATATAAAATGCTTATATAAAAATACATTCTTTTTACATATATATGTAAAAAGAATGTGTACTTGAAATAAACTTATAATAGATACAGCTAAAAACAATATTTTTCATCAAAATTTATCCTAAATACATTCTACAGCCTGAGAAATATTCGGCCATTCTCAAGTGATGGACGGATAGATTTGATTTTATACCTAGATACAAATGAAGAAAATGAATTTAATAACTCTCTTGGTACTTTTATTTATTATTTTATATAAACTGATGAAATTTTAATTCAGCTAAAAGCATTTGGAGTCACTCATTAATTACATGTACAATTTAGAGTGGAAAAGGATTGTAAATAGTAAGGTATTGCTCCTACTATGGTCTTGCTAAGTTCTAACATTTTTTTTTCCTACTTATAAAGTATAGAGAAAATACAAAGAAAAAAATTCTATGCACTAATCCTTAGAACTATTATTAATGTTTCTATGAAAAGCATCAAAATCTGTCTAGTAGATTAGAGTTGCCAAAAATAAAACGTTTTCAAAAACTGGACATTTTTTATATTTGAAACTCGTTCCTTTTACAGCCTACACAACATATTGGGTTAAATTTCAGATGTGTATACTCCCGTCAGATTGATACATACTAGTTATTGATACCAGTGTGTTCAAGAACTACCATGAATCAATAACTAGTGACGTTTGGCACAAGGCGGACTGTCGGCGGCTCCCCTCTGGGAGGAGTCAGTTGGGAGTACGAACAGTCAGGACCACTACCATGACAGTATATGTGTTTTTAAGATGAATGTGGTTATAGATAGAAAATGGCTGTGGTATTCAGTATTACCCCTTAAAGTTTTTAATTTTTTAAGATTTTTAAAAAAATTTGACTTTTTTTAAAAAAGAAATGTCAGATTAACTTTCTGGGTTTTTTTCAAAACTTTGTTTTCAGATGGCCTGAACCCAAAAAGTAAAAAACAAAAAAAAAATGTGTGTGTAGGTGTCCATTTCATTTAATCTCAAAATGGGGTAAAGATTAAGAAGTGAATTTTGGCACCGTAGCTTGTGTATAACATTGATGCTATTAAATTTTGGTGGTTAAAGGTCAAGGAGTTGGGAGATTAGTGGATGATCTCATGTCACATTTTGAGAGGGATCAAACTTACAAAGATATTAGTCATTATCAACATTTATAACTTTTTATAAAACTCATAATTAAGCTTTTTGCCTTTCCATAATAATCAATAATATGAGATTTTGTTATAAAAACTTTTTATAACAGATGGCACAATACATAATTTTAATTTTGAGTCGTACTCTAAGGGCAGCATTTACCAACAACGTTTTAAATCGGAAGTTTCATAATCCGAGGTTTTAAGCTGGTAACTCTAGATCAAGCGTTACTTCACTAATTCACCAACTGAATCTAACATTAAATTACGAAATCATCAAATAGTGCATGATTTANTAACTTTTATTAAAAATCTCATAGGCCTAAGCCAGGAAAGTTGTGCAAATTGATTTTTTGGAAATTGTAAGGCACTAAACCAGTGTTTTTCAATCTTCTTGAATACATGACCATTTTGCAAGTTAAAAACTTCTGGCGACCCCCCAGGGCCATATTAAAACTATATCAGTGATTTTAAAAACTACATATTTAATTTTCTTTCTGTTGTGACCTAAATATGAATCGAAAAACCAATTATACTGTAAAATAAACAGCTATAGCCTTCTCACTGAAATTATTATTATTTTTTTTTTTATTGTAGTGTAGGACCTACAAACACTTGTCTTTTTCTTTTACAAGCGAACCCCCCGTGTAAGGCTTTGCGGCCCCCCTGGGGGTCACGACCCATAGGTTGAAAAATACTGCACTAAACTATCAAATGCTGATCATAGATTTAGTGGAAATACAGCTATTTAGTATGTCAGGATGCTGTGCAATGAGTATTATTCATATGCAGATTTGATATGCTGACCCAAATGGGCAAGGGCATACATTTCTCATTAGTTCAGTGAGATCTGTATTGTAGTTTACATCTACCATCAACCAAGTAATTCTAACAAATGTCTGGTTGATCCTGTACAAGGCTGAATTTCATCCCTTCCATCTGCAAAGGTGCATATCTACAGGTTTACAATCATAAACTTTAACATTGAAGCATAATATCTGTTTAGCACCTCACTAGTGCATTTCCAGACATCTATTTATGGGACCAACGTTGTTCATTGCATTATTCTACAAACATTTCATGAAATTTAGTACCATTGTCATGAATTGCCCTGTATACATTTTTATTTATTTAATTGTTTGTTTTAATCAGAATCCCATGAAGAGATATGAGGAACTAAAACAGAATAAAACTAAAACTACAGTACGTCTGATGACTGAAACTAAAATTAACATTAATATATGTGTAAAACACAATATTATGAATAACATTAATTAACATTTCATTTATGATTTTATATATATTATTAAACTTGTTGCTTTTGACATATATTTAAAATTTGTGCATTAATGGAATGCATTGGCAACATTTTGAAATTAACAGTTATTGAAATCTTGAAAATTCAAATTCTATATTAGGATTAAGATTATACACATGTAAAATGGAACAAAACAAGACGTAGAAAGAGAGTAAGTTTTGGTCATTTATGTTTTATGACAACTGATTTTTTTGAGTTATAACATGTCTTCTAAATAAATTGGTAATTGTAGAATCTAATTTTATTTACAGCAATAAATAATTTTGTATCTTATTTGTTTTTAAATAAAATATTTCAAATTCTATATATTTTTAATTTTGATATTTTTATGCTTATTTGATAAAAGAATATTTTTGTATAGTTGCATCCTGATAAAAATCCAAATGCTTCAAATCAACATGAGAAATTTGTTCAGTTAAATGAAGCATATGTGATATTAGTTAGACCAGAAACCAGAAGTCGTTATGATTTAAGTTTGGTTTCAAAACAGAATGAAGCATCCAAAAGAAATTGTTACTCCAGTAGTGCTGCTAATTGTACACATTATTATAGAGCATAGTAGGTTTTAATTTTAACATATTACTTTGCTAAATTTTGATATATGAGATGAATCTATACATTGTATGAATCTGTTCTAGAATATATTTTTTAATGTATATGAGTTTATTGATTTAACATTTAAAATGAATATGAATACTATAATAATTTAATATTATTTTGAATAAATATTTCGTAGAAGGTATTTCATATCATTATACTTATTTCTTTAACTGCTAGTTAAGAAAAAAACAAAGATTTTACAAACTACTAATAAAAACAGTTCAGTTGAGTATGTTAAGAGACATATTATGAAAATGGATTTAGAAATAACTTATTATATTATATATTATAATGTTCATGGAGTGCATTCTACACAGCATATAGCAAGTCTGGTATAGTTCCTAGCACTATGTCAGATATGGGTCAACACTAGGGTTCCCATAATGTCTTTTTAAAAAGCCGAGACATTCCCACATTTTTACTTATAAAAACCTGGGACATGTTAAAAATGAAGAAAATCAAAAATAAATAAAAATATTATATGTTGCACTTTAAATAACATACTAATATAACAATACACACACTAACATAATGTCTTATTTTTTTAAAGTTGAATTTATGTTTGCAAAAACAATTATACTACAAAAAAATATTCACAAAGACAATTAGAAAAGTTGCAGCTTTTAAAATTTCATAATATTCAAGATTTTTGTGTGTTAGATTCATCAGAATATTTATCAGATCATAGTAGAGATACATTGCTTTGGCATCTGGACCTGGAGAAAACATCCATGAACTGCAGATATTTTCTCCAGATCTGTTAGAGATCATTCTAACATGATTATACTGTTTAGTAATGGACTTTTTGATATAATGGATGAGTCCATAATAACAAGTAACTTTCATTCTAACAGACCAATTTCTTTGGTTCCATGATGATCTGTTACATTGAGCTTTACTGTATATGTTATCCTTCTGTCATTATGAATTTGGACACCAAGTATCCCAGTGTATGAAGCTGCATTGTAATTTAAAAACAGCTGTTGCCTAGAATCTTTCATATTTAGTCCATCTTTATGAATTAAAAGATGTAATTTCTTAAGGTGACCAGATTTTAACATTGGTGAAGTGGGACAAATTGACGGGGGAGTGCTCAAAATTGTCTCATTGAAAAAAATTTATTCTGAAACAACCAAATTTTATTATCAAAGAATGCAAAAATTGTATTGTATTAGATTTTTTAAATTTCAACATATGTAAAATTTACAAATATAATAAATATATATAGTACTAGCAGACCCCGCCACGCCTTGTTGTGGCTCAAAATGTATCTATTATAAATGTATAACACTTCCCCCGTGGGGGAAAATTTTTCGAAAAATTTTTTCTTAGTGTACATTCTCTTGACGTACCCTATTAAAACGCAATCAAAAGCGCAAAAACCCGCATCTAAAATAGTATAATAGAAGTGAAGTTCTTCACAGTAAGCCTTAATCCTGTCCCTCTCCCCCGGGGGGGAATATCGAAAAATCCCTTCTTAGTGTACATTCTGTTGACGTACCCTATTAAAATGCAATCAAAAACACAAAAAACCACATTTAAAATAGTATAAATAGAAGCAGAGTTCTTTACAGTAAGCCTTACGGGGAAGGCTTACCGTAAAGAACTGTCCATCCCCCATGTTTAATGGAATAATATACAGCCTATGTCCATCCTGAAGTTCCATTCTAAATATTGGTGAAAAAATTTTTGAAATCGGATGAGTAGTTTTGGAGATTACCTGCTGCATACAAACTAACATACATACAAACATTACCTCTTTATAATAATAGTATAGATTATAAATTTTTATGACAATTTAAAAAATTTTTAAAGTACCTGTGACAAAGTATATTTTAACAATTATTCTAATCCTTCTGTATTTCTAAATAATAACAATAATAATACTAACTTGTATTACTTTTCCTCTGAATTTGCCTTGAATGTCACTTTATTATTGTAATTTTTTTTATTACATAATACTTTCCTAACCAAAATGAACCTCAGCCCCACCGCTAGCAATAGAACAATACAGACCAATGTGCTTACTCTCGCTAGTCGCTAGCTTTCTAAGGTGGCAACAGACGAGAGCTCTGCGCCATGTAACATGCAACTAACAAAATGTCACTTGTTTGGACAGCTTGTGAACACACACTACTCCATTGCTGCAGCTGCGCACCCCAAATCATTTTCTTTTGGTCTTTGTCATGAACACAAAGGATTTTGTCAGCACAGCATTCTTTATTTTCAATGCTCACACATGCATTGGTACTGATATGTGTGATACAAAATGATCTTCATGAACCTTAAACATAAGTCATAATTGACAAAAACTTAATCTTTCCAAAACTCTGGACTTATTTAAAATGCCATGGGGTGCAGGACAAATTGTTAAAAATAGGGACTGTCTGCCAAAAGTGGGACATCTGTTCACCTTACATTTCTCATTACTTATTTTATTTACAAAATTTCCTAAAAAGAATCATCATGTTCTAGTACAAGTGAGATATGCAAATGAAATCTGTTGACAAAAGAAACAGTGCATCTTGTAACTCCAGCAGAATATTTAATAAATCATAACACTTTTGACATAACACCAAAGGCCTTCCTCAGTGAAGTACATCATTTAAAACAAAATGAACATAAGCGTATCAAATTCAATGGAAATAATTTAAAATTAAAAAGTATTCAAGAGAACACACTCACAGAAAAAATTAAAATTATTAATTACAAATAATGCAAATAAAAATAAAGATTAATATAAACAAAAATAATTATTACAGGACCAAGTCCAGGTTACATTTCATAATACTACTTTCATGCCATAGGTAAGGTGTCCCTGTGATTGATACAAAATAATTTTTGGTTGTCTTTAAAAATTTCTAACATCTATATTAATCATTACCTTTATTTGTATTATTTCTAATTATTAATTATCGTTTTTAATTTTTTTTGTATGTGTGTTCTCTTTAGAACACTTTTTAATTTTAAATTACTCCCATTGAATTTGATATTCTTACACCATTTAAAATAAAACAAACATTTCACTGAGGAAGGCCTATAGCAGGCATGGCCAACATATGGCCTGTCTAATGAATTTATGTGGCCCGCGATTAATCTTTCAATATTAGCTACTGAAGTCCAAATAGCTTGATGAAAAGGCCAACAACTTACTGTGTGTTTAGAGTTAACCCTCCATTACAAATCTCTTAAGTACAGCGTACAATGTTGATAAAGCATGATGATGTGTGAAAANCTTTCATGCCATAGGTAAGGTGTCCCTGTGATTGATACAAAATAATTTTTGGTTGTCTTTAAAAATTTCTAACATCTATATTAATCATTACCTTTATTTGTATTATTTCTAATTATTAATTATCGTTTTTAATTTTTTTTGTATGTGTGTTCTCTTTAGAACACTTTTTAATTTTAAATTACTCCCATTGAATTTGATATTCTTACACCATTTAAAATAAAACAAACATTTCACTGAGGAAGGCCTATAGCAGGCATGGCCAACGTATGGCCTGTCTAATGAATTTATGTGGCCCGCGATTAATCTTTCAATATTAGCTACTGAAGTCCAAATAGCTTGATGAAAAGGCCAACAACTTACTGTGTGTTTAGAGTTAACCCTCCATTACAAATCTCTTAAGTACAGCGTACAATGTTGATAAAGCATGATGATGTGTGAAAAAATCTATCTGTAATTTCTATGTACAATTTAATCTCTACGGGGTGATACCACAATGAGATCTTGCACCACCTCAAAATCTTTCTAGGGCAGCCTCTGGTTCGGCCTGTGAAAAAAGTTTTCTTTCCAATTCAGCCCGGGGACAAAAACTGTTGGCCACACCTGGCCTATAGTATTAGTTCAAAAACATTATGATTTATTAAATATACTGCTGGAGTTACAAGGATTACTGTTTCTTTTGTTTATTTCTCCAGTTAAATCTTTCTTAATTGAAATCTGTTGACACGTTTAAATTACCACCTTTACACACAAAATATTTCATTAAGTGTGTGAAATATCTTTTAAAACTGATGAAATGTACAGCAAAATTATAAACAATTTGCAATGTCATGTTAATATCTGGATTTTAAAAACGTGATAGATAAATCAGTTTTGTGTTTTCTCATTAAACATAAGCTGAAGTTATTTGAATTGTTGATAAATCATGAAAAATGTTTATAAGCTATTCAATGTAATCTTTATTACTAATATGTATAAAGCATTGATGATTATTATGTGAATATCCATTTGATTATTTGATGCTAATTCATTTATAATGTTAAATATATAATGTTAATGTTGATGTTACTTATAGACTAATATGATTTTATTTTTTTTTAGTGAAAATGATGATTATACCAAAGAAAATGAAACACACCATTATTATAGAAATCATAGTTATTCACATTCTCCTCCCTTAGAAAGGATAAAGAATGTTTACATTGTAGTTGGTTGTGTTATTTTAATAATTTCTGGTTCCTTAATTCATTTTGCTACATTCAGGTAATTTTCTTTGTTATTTTAAATCTAGAAATATATTTTTTTAAGAATAATTAATTTTAAACATATTATATAGAATAATCTGATCATCTCTTCCAATGCAACCAAATTTATTTTCATAAAAAAATTGATACTTTTTATTCACACAGATTTTCTTTTGAATAACTTTATTATATTTTTGTGTTTAGTGAAGTTGATAATAAATAAGTAAAAATTTAAATTAGACATATTTAACTTAAAAATAATAGTGAAATTGCGACTGAAGTTTTCATCTCTAAAATGTGAACGTCACTTACAAGATAGCGGCACTCAACATTCACGTTTTAGAGATGAAAACTTCGGGCACAACCTTGCTAATAATGATTGTGATATTTAATGTTTAATTTATAAATCATTATAATTAAACTTTATTTGTGATCTTTAATAAAGTCCATAGTTTATTATGGATAGATTGATATTTTATAACTACTGTATATTCTCTTTAACATCACTATCAACAGCAACCCCACTTTTTGTGAGGTTGCTGTTTTGTCTTGATTTGGCTTCATTTCATGACTGGGTGTCATATCTGTTGCAAACTTTTCTTTTGTTTAATCTGGACTCGGACTGTCCATGGCCACTAATCCATGTGAGGTATAAGATAACAGCATCCAGCAAATCTGTTATTGCCAACTACAACATTGTCTGGGCTTCTCATTGTTTTAATTTTGATCTGATTTAAATGGTGGTGTGTTAAATAAAGATCTTTTGAGTTTTTCTATATGAATTTCAATTCATTACATTTAATATTACTGAGTTAGTTAAAATGATTGTTTTTAAGTTTTTTGCATTTATTTCATTTTTTTTTTGTGATGAATGGTTTAAGGACTGAAACTAGTTCTTAAAAAGATGAAAATTCTTAGTTATATATTGATGAACATAAAAGAAATGAAATTTAAATTTAGTTTGATTGGTAGTAAATTTAGAATAAAGAGGTGTTTTTTATTTTTGTAATATCTTAGACATTTTTTGAAAATATATATGATTAGTAGTATAATATACTATTTTTGTAAATTTATAATCACTTATATGAATATCTGTGATATGTATAGTCTTAAATGAAAATAATAATTTTAGAGAAAAAGCTTTAAATATTCTGATTAAAAATCATTTTGTTAAAAATATTAAATTTATATATTTTATATGATTAATAAAATGAATCTTTTCTAAAGTAGTATTTATTAAAATATATTAGGTTAGGTATGACTTTTTCTGAGAAAAAGTTGGATGAGAAAGATAAAAAACTTCAGTCTATTTATTTTGATGTTAAGTTAAATGCCATGTAAGTATGCACTTTTGTAAACTAACTTTTTACATTATTCTCAGTATTATAAAATATACTGCAGATTCAGTTTTAAAATTCAATTTCTTCTATAAATTAATATAAGAATTGTATTAAAAAGACAGAAAATTAGGATATAAATGAAATAGATAATTTTCTCTCTTTCAACAACATATTGTAGATAATCAATTTAAAGCTTAACTTTAAATAAAAAATCTACGGTAAAATGATATTTGAAAGTAAATGAATTTCAAAAATTTTTTCATATTTCATCATCACTTGTTACTCTCCTTCCTTCTGTATTAATATTTTTTCCATGTGTTGTTACTTTCTTTGTTAAGCTATGAAAAATTCTTATTCAACATGTTTTTATTTTTTTTTAATTTAGATTATTGCAATGTTTCTTTTATTGACTAATATAACTTTTGTAGGAAATTTTAAAATATTATTAGTTGGTAGTATTCCACTATTTCTTTTGTATGAATAACATTTAAACTTTTTTAAAATATTTTTCCTGTATGTTATCACTATATATCCATTGGCATATGTAAATCATCTACCTATAAAATAGATTCACAATAAACCTTTGCGTGACCAGTAAGATATTTATTTGAAAAAACAAACGTTTTTGACCGTATTCATCGGCCTTCTTCAGGTTAAACGTTCCGAGATTCGAAAAGCCGTTGTGCTTACAGATTTAAAAATTTTGGAACATATTCAACTAATTATGTGCATGCGTATCAAGCATTGCATAAACAAAAATATATTTAAACAATCTTATTTTTACACGCACATGCAATGTTGGAAAACACCTTAAANACCATGACGTATAAAAACTTCCAAATGACAATGAAGGTGACGAGGTAAAGCTTCTGAGTCCAAGTGAAGAAGAGTTGCAGTGTGTGACAATAAGGTTTCCTGGCATTTTTGGTGCAATGGTTAGGCAGCTTAGATCATCGTAAGAATTTTCTTTTTGTTATTATTAGAATTTTTCTTTAAATTGTCAGTTTTTGTGGAGAGATAAATTTAAATTAGAGTTAAGTTCCCCAATTCTTGGGAAAGTTTGTGAACAATTGTTTTGGTTTTGTTTTTGATTTGGATTAATTATAGTTCTGAATTTTATAATTTTTGTATAGCTCATTATCATTAGTGATGGGATGATACCAAAATTTCTCCTGATTCCAATTCTGTTGAAAACTCCTGTTTCTGATTGTTTTAAATACTTTTTAAAAATTATTTTAGTTTAGAAAAATTAATAATTTACATTATGAGTAGGGTACATTCATTAATTAATAAACATCAAGCTTAAGAATGGAAGATGATTAAAAAATTCAGAATCATCTTCTGAAAGAAACCCAAAAATCCTCCCTTTATATGTGGATATGCACACTTTATAAATTTATTTTGTAGTATACAATAAATCTTATTTCATTCAAGTTAATATTGCAACATTAACCCCCAAAGAAATTATAACTAACTCCCTTTGAATTGATTTATCCTGTCATGCCATCTAGGTCACCATCTTTGGGAACTGCTTTGTTAGCCAATAAAATGACTGGAGAGGGGGAAGGTAAATGAGAAGATGCACTTCTTTTTAATGCTTCTCAGAATTAAAGCATTTACAATGCATGCTGATTGCATCATATTTAACAATAAATGAGGTTCGGCAAATGATGCAACAAGCTCAACAATCATCATCATCATGAGTTAACCAAGTTTTGAATTCATTTACTTGAACCAAGTTTTCCTGAATGTACAATTGTGTGAACTTTTTTGAGGAAAAGAAGAATCAAACAAATGCCTAAACTGATTCCTCTTGAAAAATTAAGTTTTAAAATTCAAAATGGCAATAAACATAGTGTGAACAATTATTTTTACTTAGAACACAAATTGCATTTGAAAATTTAACATATTACAGCATCATCTGTCAATCATAAAAATTTTTATAGTGAAAATGGGAAAGTTGTTTTATCATTAAAAAATACTTCTATATAGACAAACTAATTTAGCTTGAACACAGTAAATACTTTTTTAGCAATATTTTAATTTATTTACATGAAAATAAACTGTGTTCTTAAACAGTTCAAATCTTCTTGTTAAATCTGACACAGATATATGAAAAAGGGTCAAAAATGTTTATTTAAATAAATTAAAGTGTTGCTGAAAAAAGTATTTAAGGTGTTGTTCAAGAGTTTTATCATTATAAGTAAACATGCTAAATATTAAAAATAATTTTATGCAATATTTTTCAATTAAAATATAAGTTTGTTTATATTTTAAACTGTTTTGCCCACACTTAAATATTTATGTTAACCACCAGTCTCATTTTGAAATTGCTGGCCAAACCAACCTGATACTGGATGAATGGCAACCATAATATCACCTCATCTCCCCTAAACAGGGACATTTAGTACCAAGTGTAATCTCTCATCAGAGTCTGACTACACAAAGAGAAGTCCACTGTGATAAGCATCATCTTGTGTATGGGGTGTTGTGTTCTCTCTGCTTTGTCAAACATGAAAGTTTCCACTAAACTAATACTTAATTGTTAATATTGTGATTTAAAAAATTTTTAATCTTCAACTGAAACAAATAATTCATTTTCTTATTTAATGTGAAAGAATAATTTTAAGAATCAGAAATTGTGGCCAGATTCACATTCTGATTAATTGTTCCATCATTTTCGCATTAATGCATTCTCATGTTTTTTTTTTAATTATTAATCTCCTGTAAATAGTTCATTTTCTTGTAATAAGTTTTGCTTTCCATTAAACCAACAACTTGACACCTAAATGTGAATTCCAGCATTAATGAACAAATAAAATTTAATCTTCAAATGTTTTCAGCCATCTTCCAGAGAACATTAAATTTTATTTGTTCATTAATGCTGGAATTCACATTTAGGTGTCAAGTTGTTGGTTTAGTATATAGTTTCAGTTTAAGTGTGCCAGCTTTTTTTTTTTTTCCTTTTCGTTGATGCATAGTTAATTAATTTGAGGTTTTTGTTACACTAATTGTGTTTCAAAACAATCCATTTGTGTTATTTTACCTATTCAAAAGTCCCGGCTGGCAAATGACTGACCCTAAGTATTTCATTATTAATGCAATAATGTTACATTAATAATTTCTGGGCTTTCGAATACTGCATTACTTGATACAGTGTAAACAGTGTGGTTATTCATTCATTCTTTTGGGTCAAAATTCCAGGTGCTTATTCAAAGCCAGCAACTATTTGAAGCTTGGAATTTAACATTGACTGTTGATTACTTTGACTACTGTATTTTGTTTTAGTCCAATAATACATTTGGGGGTTAGCTTTCAGTCAAGGAAAACAAGAAAATACTTCAGGTCCCTATTGTTAAATTATAAAAGATCCTAGTATTTTTATTATTACCATTAAGTTAACAATAATTATTGTTTTCTTCAACTTACTATTTGATTTTCTCAATAGTTTAATCACTATCTGAATCACTTATGCACAGTTCATTGTTCTACTGTTCCTTCTCATCTGGTATTGTTGATTTACTATGTCTGATCTCCATGACTCTAAAGTTCTACACACACAGGCAGGCTATTTCATTCTTCAATAACTCATAAGATTGTTGACACCTTTCAAAATGTAGAAAAATTTATTTTTAGCATGCTCCACTATAGTAGTGAAGTGCTTATGTTAAGACTTTTGTGTTTCTGTCATACATTATATATTCGAGATTATGATCCATTCAATCCATTCATTGCGCATGTGCAAAAGGGAACTGAACATTTTCATTTAAGGTCACTGTAAGCTATAGTAAAAACTACCCAGTTCCTCTCGAATCTATAAACCACATCCCTTACTGTATATTCAGTGAAAAATTCTTCTGAACAACTACTTGATTAAAATAAATTTTATAAATTCTTGGAAACAAAATTAATATTTGATTTGCTTTTGTGAAGCATGCTATCAAATTGGCTTCAACAATCTTGTTTGAGTTATCAGAACTATTGGAGTTCATGCAGGTTTTAAAGAAATGCTTGAGGTCTTCAAAAATCAAATTCCATGCCTTCTTCATCCAGTAAACAACTTGTTTGCATTCAACATGACATTGGTTTCCAGTGTGTGTGTAAGATTTCTTGCTATGCAGCATCCACTTCTCATACTATTCAAAAGAGCAATTCTTGAAAAGTCAATTCCAGTAAACATCTAGGTGTTGGGTGACACTAGATCCCCTGGAATGATACCATGATTGTTCATGTTCATTAGTTCAGCTGTTGTAGAAGGCACAACCTTGCACTTATAAACATCCAAATCAGCAATCATCACTGAAATGCTAATCAACCCCAGATTATATGCAGCCACAGTTCCTTGTTTGTCAAACTGCTTTTGAGCATAATTTTGAGTGCTTTGAACTTTATAAGTTCTTTATCTTCATAAACACTGGTGAAGACAATGGAAGGTAAAAACTTCCTTCTGTTGGTTTCCATATAACATGAATATGAATCAAGATTTTTTACACGTTATTTGAATCAGAACAAAACAAAAGCCAACACACTCAAGTATCATCATCAGTGATGTTCATACAACAAGCAGTCTTATCTATCACTCTAACTATGCTCAGTTTTTATTTCATTTTTTATAATAAGAGACTAAACAAACTTTTCTTACTTGTCTTGAACTTATGGAATAATTTTTGGCCTACAGTCATCCAGTAAAATGGGGAGATGACTTTTCTTCCCAAAATATTTTGCAACCAACCACAATTGGCTTCAAGATTTACATAGTCAAATTGAATAGTTCAACAGTTGAATTATCTGGCTTCTTCCATCATAACCATTTTCCTCAAGTCAGAAAGATGTTTGCTTTGCAAGTCATCTATTCAGTCCCCTATTTTCTCCTCTTTCCTATTCTTTTTCATAAAATCTACCACTTCCAGTTTAAAACTGATTTTATAGCTACAAACCATTTTACCTTCATGACTAAAAGTAGGGGTATCCACATTAGTATTAGAGAGGTTGAGGCGCACGTTTTAAACGTGTAAACGTGTACGTGTGACGTTCGGCGCCGCTTTCCAGTAAGCCTAAAAGTTTGACGATGATGATTGAAATGTCGAGCGTGATTCCACCGACTATCCAAACACCATTGTCAAACTTTTAGGCTTACGGGAAAGCGGCGCCGAACGTCACACGTACACGTTTACACGTTTAAAACGTGCGCCTCAACCTCTCTATTGTTTCTGCCTTGTATCAATACTTCTTGATTTACAGATCCAAAAGTGCAGATTGTAAGGAATGCATTTTGTAAGTTTGTGATTCTCACAAACTTACATCCATGCATTTAAAAATATTTTATAAAAATAAACTAGTTAGTTCATTATGCAAATAAAAATTAGAGAGATGCAATCATTCCTAAACTGAAATAATTTAATAAAAAAAATATCAGTAATTTTAAAAATTTGTCTATTAAATTTTTCTGATCTTTATCATGTGGTTTCAAGTATAAGTGGTGGTTGATTTTTTTTAATCATATAATATATATTTCATTCCTCATTTCATCTACACAAATGAATGAAACTGAATTTCATGACTAAATTAAAGACAAATTGGGATTACTTCAAAAATATTTTTTAGGCTATTAAATCAGTTTATCTATATCTATATATAAAAATGGGCATGTATGTCCCTATATCTCACTTTTTCGCCAAAACTACACATCGCACGTGAATGGTGTTTGTATGTGGTGGTAGCCCCAAGTCTCCATTCGTGCATAGGAGTGGTTGCGTCTCGATAGCTATAAGGGTGCGGGAGATATGCTAAAAGTAGTTGAAAGTGGCTTTCT